AGACAAATCGCACCACAAGACGACGGTTAATGATTTTGTTCGAGCCCAATCCAGCATTTTCCAGTAATATCCGCTCACCTATTTCTTGGTTGAAAATTGGTCTCAAAGGTTAACAGTTTTTCTTTGTGACGAGCTGCTGGAAACAAAGATCCAATTTAAACCGCTTCTTTCTACGTTCTGTTCCCTCCACACAACCCTGGTTCATCCCTTGAGTTAGGAGCCTTTGTAAGAAAGCAGCCAAAGTCTAGAGAAAAAATAAAAACTTTTAGAAAACTGGGGGGAAAAAATGACCTAACCACTTCAAACGATCACAAAAAAAAGGAGAATCTCAGGAATTAAGCAGCAGCTGAGCTCGTCCTCCGTCTACTAGTAAAGAAAAACAAGACTTAGTGGTTAAATAAAAACGTTTTTTAATAGCAATGTACAGCCGGTGGTGCAGGAGGGCTTTGGGGGGGGCCTGAGCTGAGTGTGGGGGGGGTTTAGGGTTAGGGTTTTTGTCTCAACGCTTTAATTCTGGTACAAATCGAAAACGTTTATTATTTAAATATTTATGAGTTTGATGTTTTTCAAAGAGCCCTAGTATCTACTAGAAATAGACCACACCTGTTCCCTGGGAAGGAGAGCAGCCTCCGGACAGCCCTGAGTAGAGAGAACTTTAATTTATTTAATCAGGACAGTGCACATTAATGAACAATCTCATACAGATTGTAAATGAGCCAGATTCTAGCATAGTTGCTAGTTTACATCTGTGGTCCTGAGGCAGGAAGAAAAAAACAACACAAAATCACAAAATACAAAATCAGTCCAAACACACGTTCAGACAATGACATTACAAAATTCAAATGAATTAAATTCAATTCAATTTTATTTATATAGCGCCACATCACAACAACAGTTGTTTATCTCACAGCTTTCCAAACAGAGCAGGTCAGACCTACTCTGAAGTTAATTACAGAAACCCAACAATTCAAAGAGAGAGGACCCACGTGGTGCGTTCAAGTGCCGTCGTCCAGTGGGCTCCTGATGGGCTTCCAACAAGGGCTCCTGCCACCGATTGGGTACCTTAAGGCTTTTGTAAAGGGCTATACAAATAAACTTGATTGATTGATTGATTGATTGATCTGAGCCAAACCCGTTTCCACTAACCGGGACTTTCCTCTGATGGCTTTGAAGGCATATTCTGGATCCAGAGAAAGGAAAACACGCCTGAAACTT